CAGTCTGGGCCAGGAGGAGGAACTCCGGCCTAAAGCGAGCCACTCGGGGGCCACATGAGCCCCAAGTCACAGAGATAATGAAGAACCTGGGATTTGAGTGGGACGAGATCCAGGAATCAGAAACAAAAGTACAACACATTCCTGATCTTAACAAGTTCCACGGAATACAAGGGGAAGGGCCACGCTGTCAGGGTAAGGCGCACTCTCCTAACCCAACAGCTGCCGTCCTTCCCCCGCCTGAGCTGCTGCCTTCAGAGAAGACCAAAGAGCCTGCCATCCACCTGCCCGGCCTGGAGTCAGGGCCGGCCACCCCTGACCCAGCGTCCGCGTGGCCTTCCACCCACAGCAGCGGCAATGGTGAGTGGTGGCGCTCAGAGAGAACCAACAGCAGAAACTCCTTCCATGCTGAGCAGCCTGACGGTGGACCCTCGTTCTCCCTCCGGCCAGGCAGGCCCAGCAGGGGTGACTAGAAGGGTCTTCAGTTTCCTATTAAGACTCAAGCCCTGTAGGCCATCCACTAATAAGCAGCACGTCTAAAGGACCAGCCAGGCCAATGTAACTTTTAAAATTGTGGATGGCCGAGGCAGGGCCACAGTCAACCACTGTGAGGGAAGTCGAGCTACACTCCCTGCATTTTAAATGCTGAACTTCAAGGTGCTGAGCTTCATTTCGGAGAGGTCAGCCAGAGGCTGGAAGCAAACAGCTGCGGGTCGGAGGAATACACGCTGCATGTGCAAAAACCTGCGAGCAAGATGGTTCATGTCGGGAAGGCGTACGGACCTCCAGGGCCTTCAGAAGCATCTTTTCCAAAATTCTTGCTCAGCTTGGAGGACAGCCTGGGGCCCTCGCTGTGGGTCCACCTCTGGGCCTCCACTTGAATGAGACTTCAGAGAATGGACTGTTTTTCCTGGGCCCTTCTCCCTGGCCCTGCTGATGTTTTCTACCATTTTTTTTGGGGGGGGGGGGATATTAAAGTATTTGGTTCTGTCAAATCTTGTAATAAACTTGATGCTTCAGGAAGAAAACAATAAACAAAAACAATTAACAATGACTAATTGTGATACTATCTCCTTGTCTTACCAAATGTATTTAAATAACATTAGTGTATTTATTTTTTAACCACCACCATCTAAAAAAATAAATTCTCAAAAAGGCATTTATTTGACCAAGACAACCTTAGCATCATAAACCCACTAAATCTTACACACACATATTCCCATCTGGTGAAGTATTATGCACATTCAGAGATCCTTTGCTTTAGAAGTTCTGATGGAACATCACTTAAGGTTAAGAGTATATAATATAGCTTCTTATATCATGTATGTTAAAAATAATAAGAGGCCCTAACAGTCTAACCACTATTCTGTATACCTGAAACTAATACAGAATAATATTGAATATAAACTGTAATTGAAAAATTAAAAAAATAATAATAAAAGAAACTCAAACACACCAATAATAGAAATTAAGGCTATGAAAAAATTTAGGGGGAGAAAAAAGGCTCCTACAAATTTACAACTAAATCATTTCAGATTTCAGAGAGAAGCAACTTCTGTTAGCTACACTGTCTGAGATCAAATTTACCTGTGCATCCTACAGAGCAAATATAAAATTAACCTTTTCTTCCAAACATATGCCAGCAACTACTGGCTGGTTCTGTAGATAAGTACCATTCTCTCAGGGTTGAACTGTTACTCTTCATGGAGAGAGTGTATAACAAAAATAGCGAACAAATGACATGTGCCCCCCCGGACACCCTGCAGCTGCTGCTCCGGTGAGATGGGGAATTCTAGGTGGGCTTCTGCATTCAACTCACCAACTTCTCCCGCTCTCTTCCTAGCTGACCTCCTCTTAACAACAAAGGCCATGAGCACCTCTCATCCTTCACCAGCTCTTTCCAGCCTGCAGACAGAACCCCTGCAAACACAGGCACACCCACCGCTTCAGAGCTACCTCGGAAGGCTGAGCCATCTGCACGGAATGGCCTCCGTGCGTTGGCTCTTTGGGTTACCCAGAAAAGGTACTCTTTGGCACATTCTCACAACTTTCCAGGATGACAGAAATAAAACCAGACCAGCCTGTTTGTTTTTAATATCTTCTTCGACACAAAGCAAGCCACAGTCCTTTTCCTTATTCCAGGAAAACAAGTTTTTGTAAGTTTCCTGAGCTGGTCCAATGAAAATGGAACCCATGGTCTATTTCTATAAACTTAAAAAGGGACGCTTCACAGAGCTCAGCTAAGTGTGACTTTGAGAGGTCCAACTGTCCTTAGGCATCCTTCCCTTTACTCTCCAGATGATTCTATAATATTCTCTTGCAGCAATACCATAGGACACTCCTGCACTCCCTCCTCCATCGGTGCAACTGCAATTTTGTTTTCCTGTTTGGAGGCCTGGTAGCTACCACAAACCCCTGGAGGGAATCAAAAATAAGAGTGCTTCTTTCTCCAGACATACTCCTTTGTAACTGCCCAAAAGTTCCCTGTTTGTGAGTGGACAAGTCATTTTAATGCTCTCTTTTTTAAAATATATATATTTTTTATTGATTTTTTACAAAGAGGAAGAGAGAGGAATAGAGAGAAACATCGATGAGAGAGAATCATCGATCAGCTGCCTCCTACACACCCCCTACTGGAGATGTGCCCGCAACCCAGGTACATGTCTTTGACCGGAATCGAACCCAGGACCCTGTAGTCTGCAGACCGACGCTCTACTACTGAGCCAAACTGGTTTCGGCTTAATGCTCTTTTTAAAAGCTGGCAAACCAGTGCTAAACTTGAGGGATAGAAACCTTTAGAGGCAACTATTACAGATTCACTAGATCAGTCTCTAAATTTGTCTCTCCGAGAAAAATGTCCAGAGAATCTAGATCTTGAGGTTCCTCCCGGCAAGAATTTCTCTACTGTCTCTATTTTACGAACATGTTTACCGTTCTCAGGCCAAACATACCCACTCCAACCACAGCAGAAGGCACAGATGCTAGTGTTTCTGCTGCCCTTTCTTCTGGAAGTTCTCTATCAGCCGAGGCGTCCTGATCCACCCCAGGGCCTCGGAGGGCCAGCAGCAGGCTTTCCCATGGCTGTCTGGGCCACTATCTTTCCTCACGGAAGAAACATTCAGACTGGGGCTTCACAGGCTGGCTGCCTGGATGGAGGAGTTCTTTCCCATTTTCCTAAAGTCTTCCCTCAATTACGCTTTATCCTAATTGACAGGCAGCTAAACCCTCTGGCCTCAGTACACTCTCCTCCCCCACTCCCCGCCCCATTCCTCAGTTATCTGCCAATAAAAATGATAATCCCAACAAAATGCAGCGAAAATATAGTGAACTAGGCATGCTCATTTTATTTTAAATACGTTTTTATTGATTTCAGAGGGAGGGAGGGAGGGAAACACCAATAATAATCATTGATTGGCTGCCTCCCGCATGCCCCCTACTGAGGATCAAGCCTGAAATCCTGGCATGTGCCCAGACCAGGAATTGAACTATGACCTCCTGGTTCATTGGGGGGGGGAGGGGGGGATGCTCAACCACTGAGCTACACCAGCGGGGGCTAGGCATGCTCACTGTATGACTCCATATTATCCAAACTGCTCTGGGAAGCATGAATGCAGAGCCCGTAACTCCTTGACTCAGTATTTCCAGCTTGGACAGCTAATCTGGAAAAATAATCCATGGTTATATTATTGAATACCCGCTCAAAGTAGTCATTAAAAGCAGACTACACCACCACACGAAAAACTGGCCTCAAAAATAAACACCATACAATGGCCACTGCAGTTGGCATTAGCACGATGTCGATGAGGCCTCTGAGTCAGAAACACTTCCATCAAATAGGATTTTATCCTTTGTGATTTCTTAGCTGGTTTGATTTTTGCCCTAGTAGAAAACAGGATCAGGCTTCGTCTCCCGCTCCCCAGGGATCCAGTGAAACCTTTGTCCAACGCTCATTTTATTTTAAATACGTTTTTATTGATATCAGAGGGAGGGAGGGAAACACCAATAATCATTGATTGGCTGCCTCCCGCATGCCCCTTACTGGGGATCAATACAGAATATACAGAATATTCTGCCGGAAACGCTCTTCTTGGAGTCTAGAATCCCAATTCATGAAGCCCCTCTATTTCCAGGCCCTATGCAGGGGGCTTTCTCACACTTCTTTATCCTCATTTAAAAAAAAAAAAAAAACAAAAAAACAAAAAAACCGTGGGGAGGTACCCTGGCCTTCATTTCACATAGGAAGCAGCAACTACTCAGCATATCAAGTCACCACCCAAGGTCACACTGGGCGTCGGAGCCCGGGGACCAACATCTGGTCTTGTGGAGGGCTGCTCATGGCTCTTTTTAGGGGTTTTCTCCATCCTTAAACCCAAGAAGACCATGCCCACATGGGCGCTCACACCACCCTCCTGCGTCCCCACCGCAGGTCCTGGTGCCCCCATCCCTCTGCCTCCCCACTGGGAGCCGCACGTTGTTAAAACGCTTTCTAGCCAAAACCGGTTTGGCTCAGTGGATAGAGCGTCGGCCTGAGGACTGAAAGGTCCAGGGTTCGATTCCGGTCAAGGGCAAGTACCTTGGTTGCGGGCACATCCCCAGTAGGGGGTGTGCAGGAGGCAGCTGGTCGATGTTTCTCTCATGGACGTTTCTAGCTCTCTATCCCTCTCCCTATCTGTGAAAAGTCAATAAAATATACTTTTTTTAAAAATTAAAAAAAAACAAAACCGCTTTCTACAAGCTGTACGATGCCCACCATATGGGTCGCCTTGCAGGACGGGGCTGTCACAGGAAGGGGCGGGCCGGCTGCCCCGAAGGCCAGCGGGGTGCCCAGCTTTGCCAATGGGCCGCGGGGCTCCTCTCACCCAGGCCCACGTGGGAAGGCGAGCACCCCACCGATCACAGGGGCTTCCGCGCCCGGCGTGGCAGGGCCGGGGACACCTGGCTCCGCGGGCCAGGGGCCGCCCCCGGGGGCCCCCGCAGCCCCCCCCCGTGACCCCGGGCCTCACCTTGAGCGTCTCGTAGGCGGTCGCCACCAGCAGGAAGGCCTCCTCGGCGCTGATCGGCGCGCTCCCCGGGTCGCCGGGCTCGGGCCGGTAGCGGTCGGGGTGGTAGCGCCGCGCCAGCTGGCGGTAGGCCCGCGCGATCTCCGCCTTGCCGGCCGCGCGGCTCACGCCCAGCACCTCGTAGCAGTCCCGCGTGCCGCAGTACAGCCCCTCCACCAGGGCCGCCGCCGGCCGCGCCAGCAGCAGCGCCAGCAGCAGCGGCGGCAGCAGCCGCCCCCGGCGCCCGCCCGCGTCCCCGGCGCCCCGGCGCGCAGCGAGCGGCGCCGCCATGCCGGCCTCGGCCGCCGATCCACCGGCCCGGCCGCTCCCGCTCCCGCTCCGGCTCCGGCTCCGGCTCCCGCCGCCGCCGCGTCCCGCTCCCAGTCAGCAGGAGCGCCTCCGCGCAGGCGCGCTGGGCGCCGCCGCAGCCGCCGCAGCCGCCACGCTCTTGGCGACCGTTGCTAGGGAAGGACGCCTCCGCCGGACCGCGGCTTCCGCTGTAGCGCCGCACGCCTTCCGGAGCCCGGCGGCCACAGGGTTTGGATTTGCCGGATTTAAAAGCGCAGGTTAGCCCACACCCCGAATAACTGTCTATTGCTGCCGTGTTCTTTTTTACAAGAAGGAAAGAAAGAATTCTTCCTGTTTTGTTTTGTTAGCCCCCCCCCCAATAATTTACTATTTATGATGTATTTCAGTGTTTTATTCAGGACAAAGTTCTGTAGGGGATGGGAGGGAGTATTCAAGGGAGGCTGGGTCGTAGGGAAGGGAATGGGAATGAACATTTTGATGAAGTGGCACTATTTGCCTCTACTTTGTATTGTTCAGAAATGGCAAATGCAATCAATATAAGTGATAACTATCTGGTTTTGATGTATTAACCTGTCAACACTTAAAAAAAATAAATAAATAAAAGCGCACCAGCCAGTGTGTGCGGAGCGCTGTCCCGTCCACAGTGCCCTTCACACGCGATCTTTTCCAGAGCACGATTTCACCTGCTGCCCCGGGTGGGCTGGCTCTCTGGCCCTCTGGTTGTCAGCGTCAGGGTGTGTGCCCGGGGTCTTAAAGCCGGGTCTGCACCGCGGACGCCTTCCTCTCAATAACCGCATGCTGCCTTTCCAAAAGGAAGATGAACTGAGAGATTCTAGGTGCTGTCTGCCTGCCAGGGGCCTGTAAGTTCATTCATGACTATCTATGATAGCTCGGGGTTTCTTAGCTTCCACACCATTGACACCTTGGACCAGAGAATTCTTAGCCTTGTAGGGACTGTCCTTTTGCATTCTTAAGATGTTTAGCAGCATCCCTGTCCTATACACACACACACACATACACACACACACACACAACGCCATCAGGCCTGACAATAAAAAGGTCTCCAGATATCGCCAAGTGTGTACGGTTGCCAAAAAAATACAGGTCGCTCAGTTAAATTTGAATTTTGGGTTACCCAAATATTTGTGTCCCACATATTACTTGAGCTTAAACAGTAACATGAAGATCTTTGCCTCAAAAAAATTGTTTATATCATTCCCTCAGTAAATATTTATTGAGTCTCTACTATGAACTAGGCACTGTTGTAGGCACTGGGAACATAGTGGTGAGCAAGGTAGGCCAGGTTCTTGACCTGGAGGAGCATATATGCTAGTGAAGGATGACAGATAATAAGCAAATAAACTTTAATATGTAATTAAGAGTTCTTTTATGAAAATGAAACAAGCCCTAGCCAGTTTGTCTCAGTGGATAGAGTGCCAGCCTGTGGACCAAAGGGTCATGGATTTGATTCCAGTCAAGGGCAGGTACCTTGGTTGCAGGCTCCTCTCTGGCCCAGGCCCTGGTCAGGCCTCGGGCAGGAGACAACCAATCATTGTGTTTCTCTCATATCAATATTTCTCTCTGTCTTTCTCTCTCTCTTACAGTCTCCCTAAAAATCAATGGAAAAATATCCTTGAGTGAAGATTAATAACAAAAAAAGAAAGAAAGAAAAGAAAAGAAACAGGGGAAATGAAATAAGCCCAGCTTTGACCCATGAACTAGAGGATCACAGTTGGGTTCCTGTTGGAGCATGTGCTGGGGTTGCAGGCTTGCTCCCCAGTAGGGGGTATGCAGGAGACAGCCCATCAATGGTTCTCTCTCATCATTGAAGCTTCTATCTCTCTTTCCCTCTCTCTCTCCCTTCATCTCTCTGAAAGTCAATAAAAACATTTCTTTAAAAAGAAAATGAAACAAGATAAAAATACACATGATTATATAGCACATACCATACACTATAAATCAAACACATATGAGAGAGATAGAGAAGTAATGGAAACACATAGGAGAGTCACCTAACCTGAAATTATTAGAGTTAGGGTCAGTCCTAAAGGTCAGTTCCAGGAGGAATTCACATCTACACTGACTCTGAAGAACAAATAGAGGATGAATTGAAGGGTGGGAGTGAGGGAGGAGTTTTGGGATAAGGGAGTTGTAACATAAGTACCAAGAAGAAAAATGAGACATAGGCCAAAAAAAAGAGAAGCTTTTCAAGAAATAAAAGCAGCCCCTATACCAGTAAGAGTAGGTGGAGATGAGGAATAGAGGGGATGAAACTGGGAAGGCCAGAGGGGCCATTTTATTCCATGTTGAAGTAGTTTCTCTTTATCCTAAGAGCAATGGAAAGCCAGCGTGGAGTTTTTAAGTAATAGAGTGGCACCTTCTGATGTGCTTGCTTTTCAGAATAATTACTCTGTCAGAGGAAATGAGTGGGGACATGTATGAGAATGAACTGGGACAGTCATAAGAATCCAAGTGAAAGATGTTACAGGCCTGCCTCAATAAAGCACTGAGAATGGAGAAAGACCAAAGAAAAGTTGACATAGATTTATGAAGTGAAATGGGCGGTATTCAGTCATTGGTTCTGGAAGAGTGAAGGAGAAGAATGAGGCATGATAATGGCCAGGTTCCTGGGATGGGCAGCCGGATGCCGTCCCTGAAAGAAGGAACATGGAAGGGCAGTAGGTCCATGGTGTAGGGTCATGCCCTCTCTTGAGTCATGTTGTGTTTGAGATGCCAGCCATCGCTCCATTGGATCCTGTCAGTTTTGTGAATGAAACATTTGATTATTGTCCTTGAACCTTGCCTCCTGTGGGGGCTCCTGAGTTACACAGTTTTCCCAGTCCATTTCCTCCATGCAAGCTCCTCATTGAAGCTGCTTGCTACCTGTTCAGGGCTCTCCTTCCCAAGGGAAGATGTCCCCATGCTGCTTTGTGAGAAAAGTTGTCTACATTACAAAGGTGGTCACGTTGCTCTTACCCAACTTCATTTGCAAAAACTGTGGCATGGATTTCAGGCTTCTGTGACAATCTAGGGTCTCACATGCTCTGGTTTTGCTCATCCTGGTCCCTCTGCCCAAGGTGTTTCATCTCTGTGACTCCTTCCAACCCTTCCTCCCCCCCATTTCCTATGTGGCAACCCCAGTGTCTCCTCTATTTGGAATCTTCCTAAGTCACAGTCCCACAGCTGAGCTTCGTAATCAAGATCAAACGATCATAGGGAAAGCTCACCTGAAAGCGGACAAAACGTGGGTCTGTGGCTGTTATTCATTTATTGCCTCTGAGCTGTAAACCCACACTCCTCCTCTGCTCTGCAGTCTGCCACTTCCCTATTGCCTGGCTAGATGCTAAACTCTGCCAACAGAGGGTGCTTGAGGCACATGGCCAGGTTGGAAAAGGAAACTGATATATTTTTCTCCAAGTAAATGGATCTATTTTGCAGAGTTCCCTGTTCAGTGCCAGTGAGTTTGCCAACACATTGTTGATGGCTCCTGTTTGTAGGTTGAATTATGACTTCCCAGAAAGATAGGTTCAAGCCCTAACCTCAGTACCTGCCAATGTGACCTTATTTGGAAATAGGCGGGTCTTTGCAGATGTCATTCATTCCAGTGAAGCCAACTAAAAGAAGGATGGGTCCCAGTCCAATGGCTCATGTCTTATAAGAAAACAGAGATGCAGCCTGGCTGGTGCGGTTCAATGGTTGAACTTTGACCCATGAGCCAGGAGGTCACAGTTTGATTCCGGGTCAGGGCACACGTCCAGGTTGTGGGCTCAATCCCCAGTAGGGGACGTGTAGGAGGCAGCCGATTGATGATTCTCTCTCACCATTGATGTTTCCATCTCTCTCTCTCCTTCTCCCTTCCTCTCTGAAGTCAAGAAAAACATATTTTAAAAAAGAAAGGAAACAGAGACGCACACCCAGAGGAGACAACCCTCTGAAGACAGAGGCAAACATTGGAGCTCTGTTGCCACAAGCCAGGGAGTACCGAGGATTGCCAGCAACCACCTGAAGGTAGGAGAGAGGCCCCAGAAGGAACCAACCCTGCCAACACCTTGATGACATACAGTAGCCTCCAGCATTGTGAGAGCATACATGCCTGTTGTGCTAAGTCACCTAGTGTGCGGCCATTGGTCTGGGCAGCCCTAGGACACGAACACAGCTCCATTCAGTGTCATTATCACCACGTTGGACAGCTTCCTCACCCCAGCCACGGGCACCATGCTCCTGTGACAAGCCCTCTCTCCTCAGAGCGGAAGAAGTAGTAAATAAGTGCTTCATAGGTACAGGAGTTTCTCTTGAGAATCATATCTTAAGAAAAAAAAAAAAAAAAAAAAAAAAAAGTCTTATTACCTAAACTCTGGCCTTTGCCTGTTTGTTTTAGTCCAAAGTATAAGATTGGTATAACCTTTACTTTCCATTTCTTATCTACTTGTACTTGGAATTTCTTCAGACGGTATGCATAAGAAGTAATAAGCATAGCAAACAGTGATTTCTTTACAGCTAACCTTTAGCCAAATGACTTCAGGGAGTTAGTAGGTTCATCAACTGTAACAAAAGCACAGTTGGTGGGGGATGTTCATAATGGGTGGGGCCAGGTGTGTGTGTGTGTGGGGGGGAAATGGGCAAAGGGCATATGAGAAATCTCTGCACTATATATCCCCTTAATTTTGCTGTGAACTTAAAACTGCTCTTTAAAAAAGTCTTTAAAAAAATTAAGGTCACACCCTGTAATTCTTTGTGTTTCCATAATGCCTTGTACACAATTAGCATGGAATAAATATTTCCTGTCTGATGAATAAGTTAACTAATCTGTCAGGAGAATAATCTGGGTAACATAATTGAGAGTCGACTGGCTTTGTCTACATACCCAGTGACAAAACAGGAAAGATAAGAAACTGTTCTAACTATACATTTTAGCCTAATGGATCTACACTGTAGGATTGTCATAATTCATAATTCCCAGATAGCTGGCATTTGTATTACTG